AGTCCAATACCAATTGGACTGGTCCAATGTACAACTAAGCCACTTTTTTACTGCGCCAATTGGACTGGACTTATTGGACTGGCAATTTTGACAACACTGTCTTGAACTGCTAGTAAAGTAATTTTTAAAATTTTTTTGTGGCACCAAAAAAATAATAATAAATCCACAAAACCCCTAAAAAATCCTTATTAATGAAAATTTATATATGTGATTGACTATGTTTGTAAATCATATGATGTGGGACACCCCAACCACATGTGCATTATGAATTAGTCTTTTTCTTTTATTGGGCTTCAACATTTTATTTATTTAAACCTGAATATTTTATTTTTTACGATTCTTATGTTTCTTATTATTAAGAAAAGACTTTACGTTTTCCTTAAAAGGAAATGATTATCAAAAAAAAATTTTGAAAATTATTTTTATTAATAAAATTGCACAACTTTGAATTCTTATAAATCCTTGTTCTACTAATAATTTTTAAAAAAACTCTCTGTCAGGCTATTCTTTGAATCACAGAGAAAAAACTATGGAAATTTTTTTACTCTCCTTATTTGGTTATTGGACCTATACGTTTCAAAGTTTTAACAGTATTTTTAACATTTTGGATGATTTTACTAATAAAATTAAAAAAAACTCTCTGTCACCATGTTCAGCATCACATTTATTACAATTTTTCTTAATTTCATACTTGTATCTTTTTTTTTGAAGGAGAAGATGCAATTTTTATTTTTATATTCATTGAAAAAAAGTTAATTAGTAAATTTTATATATGATGTCAATTAGTTTTGATCTATATACATAGTCTATTGTACAACCCAATGAGTTATCTCTAATTAGGGATGAGTTTTGTTTTTTGAAGAATTTTAAAAGAAGATTTTATTCAAAAACACTTTCAATAACTACTATACAGCAGAATACACATATAGAATAACACAGGAGTTATTTGAATGCATCTCATGTAGCTTCACCTTTAAGACAATTATTGATTTTGGAAAAGTCAAATTTTGATCTGGATTATACATGGGATGGTAATTACCTAATTACCGTAAATGCATAATTTGTAATTAACATAATTAATTACCACTTTCACTCTTTAAAAATGTAATTACGAAATTAATTACGGGTGACAGGTGATGAAATTAATTAGGGGTGACGAATTAATTACTATTGTGAAATTTTCTATGCAAACTGTTGTTAACACTACACTGATTAACAAATGTCAAAACTTTTGCTTTATACCAAAGCAAATAAACAAAACTTCAGTTCTATGCCAACAACCAAATGGACAATTAAACACACTGTTTAATTTCTGACTACAAAAGTGTTTTTATAAGCAAAACAATGAATGTATTTATTTTTACGAGTTAAATTAATGATAATAAATAAATTATTTCTGCCTTTACTTATTAGCAAAGCTCTGAAATTTAATCAATTAACCTGTTGTTTTTTTGGGTTAAAATCATTTCACTAATTTATATGTAAAATCATTTATTCATTAAATGTCAAAATTAAATTTAATTTTTTAAAAAACCAAATTGAAATAATCTCTCATCTATACATATTGTCAAAATTAATTTGGCTTTGACCCAATTCCAAAATCTCAATTTTTAATTGTGTCTTGACTCAATTATTTATATGCTTCCATATGACTCAATTAATTGCGTCAAAGAGTCACCTGATTGAGTCAAGTGATATTCTGCCACATGTATAATCAATCTCATCTATTTTGATTATCTCAAAGTATCACAAAATTTAATCTAGTCGATGTTGAACCAAAAAGTTTAAGGACAAAAAATGAGTAATTCAGGTGAATTAGACGAAATTAATGAAACAAAAAAATGATCTGGTCGACCAAGGGAAGAAGTTTGGGAATATTTTGAAGAAAAAGGAGAAAGAATAAAAGGTCATTGTGGTGGAGTGTGCAAGTTTTGTGGCTGGGAGAAAAGATTAGCACAACCTAATGATATGAGAGAACATCTTGCTTTTTATTGTAAAGAAGTACCTTACGAAACAAGAAAACATTATTTAGAAGTTATAAAAAATTATTCAATTTTAAGTAAGAAACAAAAAAAGAAACAAAAAATTAACCAACAACCAAAAATTTATGAAAAATTTGAATCAACAAAAATTGACTGCTAAAATAGATATGGCAAATCGTGCTATTGTGAAATTTTTCGCTTGTTGTGGTATCCCTTTTCATATTGTCGAAAATCCATTTTTCATTGATCTGCTATGTACACTGTGTCCAGGCTATTCCCCCCAAGTAGACATACTCTTTCTGTATCAATGCTTAATGTGGAGTTGGCATTTATAACTGGTGAAATTAATGATATGCTGAATGTTGAAACAAACCTTACCTTGGGTAATAATTGTATATATATATATTTATTTATTTATTTATTTATTTAATTAACATCATTATGTATAAATTTTATTTAGTGCTGGACAGATGGACAAGTCCATCAGGTCAATCTCTTTACGCCTTTATCATCATTACAAAAGACAGGAGAGAAATTGTTCATTCGATACAAAATTTGTCAAAAGAATCCCATACAGGTATATTCCTTTCAGAAAAAATAATCGAAGTAATTGAAAATGTAGGGGGTCATGAGAAGTTCACTGGTTTGGTATCTGACAATGCTAGCACCATGGTCTTGGCAAAAAATTTAGTTCATCAAAAATATGAAAATATAATTCCCATCCGTTGCATTTCCCACCACATTAATCTTCTTACCACAGATATTTGTAAATTGGAATTTGCAAGGTCAATTTTAAAAAAATGCATGAAATTAGTAAGATTTTTTAAAACTTCTCACCAAGCAAATTATCATTTAAAACAAGAAATAATTGAAAGTATGATACAAGGTGGTGGCTTCAAAAGTTATTGCAAAACAAGGTGGACAACTGCTTGGGATTGCACAGCTTCTGTCCTCAAATGTGAAAATGTTTTGAAAAAGGTTATTAATATTATATTTTTTATTTCAATTAAATTAAGTTAAATTAAATTAATTAAACCATTTGATTTTAGATTGCAGATGAAAATCCAGAATATCTAAATGAAGATATTAAGGCTATTATAACAAGACGATTTTTTATGAATGTTGAAGAATTAGAAAAAGTATTGAAACCAATAAAAGAAGCAGTGAAGTGTTTGGAAATGAAGTCAACAACTTTAGCGGATTGTTTTTGTCAATTAATAAAATTATCATTTTCAATAAAAAATCTACCAGAATCAACATCCACTTTCCGTAACCAATGTATCACCACCTTTAATAAAAGATGGAAACAGTTTGACTTTAATTTGTACATGTTGGCTTATCTTCTTCATCCACAATATCGTGGTATGCATTTATGTATTTATTCAAAAAGTTAAGCAATTCAACTGCTCATTTTTTCTAATTTAATAGGGAAAGGTTTTCAGAAAACTGTATTTCGTCATGTGGTCCACTGGGCCATTAAAAATATTTGGTTAAAGATGGGTGGTGGATCAAATTCTACACCAAAACTAATTGCACAACTAGCTGCCTATCGTGAAAGAAAATCACCATATGAAGATGAATTTGTACCTGCATACTACTCAATTGAAAGTTGGTGGAGATTAATAGAACAAAATGAAAATTACATACAAGAACTTGCTCTGAAAATTTTATTAATAACTCCAACAAATGCAGGTTGCGAGAGAGTATTTTCAGTTCTTGGGTGGTACATGAATAAAAGAAGGACAAGGTAATTATTTGTTAAATATTTCCAACTTAAAAATTAGTATAAAATTTAATACTAAATAATATTAGGTTGAGTGTGGAACGATTACAAAGCCTTTCTAAACTCCATGCTTATTATGTCTCGAACACCAAAACTGAGCTGAAATTTGCAGCCCAAAATGTGAATGATGATGATATTTATAATGCTATGCAAAATATTTTTTCTGATGAAGTTGAATTAGATGAAATTGATGAAGAAGAATTGGAAAATTTTGATGAAGTAGAAAATATTGAAGATGAAGAAACTTTTGATATAGATAATGGAAGCAATGGACAATTTGATAATAATGATAATGAAATGCAAATTGAAAATTTTTTCAATCTAGTAGATAAAGAATTAGCAGAACTATTAAAAACACAGGAAGTTCAGGTTGTCATTGAGCCAATAATTATTGATTATGGTGAAAAAGAATTTGATATAGATGATTTGTTGGACCAAGAACTTGTTGATTAAAAAAAATTTTTTTGTTTTGTTGAAAATTTTGGTTGAAAAAAGGGTTTTTTGAAATTTTTTACTTTACAAGTTATATGTTTTTAATAATACTTTCACACGAAGGACTTTTTTTACTTCAAAGACAAGCAAGATATTGTTTATGGTTAACAAAAATTTTAAATTTTATGTGAGTACTTTTATTTAGTACTTTATAAAGTGTAAAAAGCATATAAAATAAAAAATTATTGTCCATAGTTAATTTTGTTTACAATGAATAATTTCCGTTGCTTGTAATTAATTTCAAATAATTTCGTCACCCGTAATTAATTTCGTCAATAATCAATAATTTCGTCACCCGTAATTAATTTCGTCAATAATCAATAATTTCGTCACCCGTAATTAGTTTCGTAACCCGTAATTAATTTCGTAACCCGTAATTAATTTCGTAACCCGTAATTAATTTCGTCAATAATCAATAATTTCGTCACCCGTAATTAATTTCGTCACCCGTAATTGGTTTCGTAACCCGTAATTAATTTCGTCACCCGTAATTAATTTCGTAAATAATTTCGTAATTACGTATTACGTATTACGTTTTTGGCAAAACAATTACCATCCCATGTATACTTTTGGATTGCCAATAAAAAACGTCGGAAAGAAACATTAAAGGTGCTTTAGTATAATTTTTACGATGGAACCTAAGAAAAATAACCCAAACTCGAAAACAAGATTCAATGTAAGAGTTAAAATCACCAGCCCGAAAAAAC